TCTGCATTCTTGTTATTTTCTTCTTCTTCTTTAATTGTAGCCATCTTAGTAGGTATGAACTGGTATCTCATTGTGGTTTTGATTTGAATTTCTTTAGTGACTAATAATGCTGAGCATCTTCTCATGTGCTTACTGGACATTAGTGTATCTTCTTTAGAGAAATGTCCATTCAAATATTTTGCCTGTTTTTCTAATTGCATTTTTTGTCTTTTTAAAATAACTAACTTATTTTTACCAAAACTTGTAAATATTTATTGTGTACAAAATCTTGTTTAAAATATGCGTACATTGTGGATGGCTAAATTGAACCAATTCACTTTTGCATTACTTCACATATTTTTCTTTTGTGTGTGTGTGTGTGTGGCGGGAAGACCGACTTTTTTGAAGTTCAGCTTTAGTTCTTTATCCAATTGCCTCCTAACCCTTCACTGGCCATGGCTTTAAAGTCTGGGTTTCCACTAATGGCCGATTCATGGTGATTTACGTTTCCTTTAACATACTCCTCAAAATTATTCTGCTTCTTGCCATTCCCTGGTCTCAAAGCCATGTTCACATTTTCACCTCTTACAGTAGCACCACACTTCCAGCTACCATGGTCTGTTTTAACAGTTGTTATATAATAACGTTACCACAGACTTCAGCAATTAAAGCACCAGGTGTTTATTTGCTTGTGGTGTCTGTGGGTTTTGTAGTCTGGGCAAAGCTTCAGGTTCTCACAGGGCGGCAGTCAGCATGTAGGCCCTGTCTGTGATGTCAGTGGGGCTCGGCTGGAGAAGGACCTGCCTCCAGATCATGTGGCTATTGGCAGCCTTCAGTTCCTGTGGGATGTCAGACTGAGGGCCTCAGTTTCTTGCTGGCTGTTAGCTGGAGGCTCCCCTCAATTCCTTGACAACTGACTCCTCACCTTTTTGCTTGCTTTCTCAAAGCTAACAAGGGAGAAAGTTTTCTTGAAATAAGGGCATTACAATCTATGTAACATGATGACAGAAGTGACATTGTATCATCTTTCACGTATTCTATTGGTTAGAAGCAAGTGACAGGTCCCACTCACATTCAATAGGAGGAGATTACACAAGGAGTGAATTCTAGGAGCTGGGGATCATGGAAACATGTTAGAGCCTGTCCAATACATTCTCAAAGAGTCCCAGGGATCAATGGTTTTTATTATGTGGTTATTTATCTTCATCAGTATATTGGCTGAATCCTGTGGTGAGCCAAAGTGATGTTCTTCACAAGTTATTTTTCTTCCTAAATGGGTTGAATTGAATATTATGGTAGACTTTATGTACATGCAGTTTCTCTGCTGCCATAAACATTTAATTATGGAAGTATGGCCCAGTAAAGGGCTGATCATTTGGAGTGAAGCAAGGAGAAAATAATTCAGAAGAGGCCCTCACTGGTTCAGGTTAACAGAGGTTGCAATGAGCAACTAGCTTGGACCTAACCAGAATGGAATATAATTTATGCAATTTATATTTTATAACAGAAAGAACAATTTAGAGCATGATATAGTGCTGAATATCTAGTCCATGTGGAATTGTAAAAGGTCATTATTTTCATAAGGGACTAGATTTGTGAAAAAAGTGGATAACTTATAGAGAAACAGTGCTGGGTCATTAACTGGCTTTTAAATGCAACATGAGAATAAGCAGTCATGGGAAAAGTTAAAATCTTAATTATTAATGCATCATGAGATGCATCTGTGACTTGCAATGCTTTCACATACTAGAAGACACACAAGAGCCAATAACATTTGGAAAACATTTGAGCCCATTGTTTGCTAAAAGTCAGCAGCAGCATGTTGGGGACAAGGGAAAGGGAAACTAACTTATGGCCCATTGTGTAGGTATTTTATCCACAAATTAATTTTAAAACCCCTTAACCAGCAGAGATACCAAGGTACTGACTTTCAACCTCATGATTTTTTGTAGAGCTTCATAAGAGGGGCTTCTCTCAGGAGCATGAGTTAGTTGGGGTGGGAGCAGGGAGAGGGTGAGAGGAAATGCTTTCTCACAATTGCGGAGGATCCATGCTTAAGGGCTTCTGAGGGCTTTGCCTCTGAGCACTCTTCCAGGGTGAATTCCTTACTGAAAACCCAGACACAGATAAACAGAGCTAGCCTAGCAATTTCTATTTCCCTCTGACCTCTCTTACTGGGGAGGCTGCAATTTCAGAGGGTGGTACCCTAGCAGATCCTGGTGTGGCTTGTTTCATGGACTACTATAGAAGAAAGACAAAAAAAAGAAGGCAGGATCGACAAACTTAAAATAGCTGTTCAGGAGACAATTTATTAACACTGGCTGAAAGTTCCATGGTACACACACAGGTTGCCCTGCGGTAGATTTTCACAATAATAACATGCTGAGCATTTTCAGGCATGGCCTGCTGTCAGCAAATGAGAGAAAGGATTTGTGCGCTATGGTTTATTTTGCTTTGGGGAAATGCTAGCTCAGTTGCTGTGCTTTTTATTGAAAATCAAGGGTTTAATAAACATCTTTAGTAGGTTTTTCTCTGCCTTCCATACTCTTTTTTTGTTTTGTTTTTTCTTTAGAAGTGGGGGGCCTGTTGAAAGCTGATATTAGAATCAAGTTTTCTAAGAAGTATATACCTTTTAAACACTGGTGAATCAGCTTAGAAATGGAGATGGCCTGCTTCTCATGCTACTCACAGTGAGCTACACTTAGATAAGTTAGCTAAATGCTGACAGTTCTGATATTCTGAGTTTTCTTGACTTCCTCAAAATATTTTCTCAAAGCAGGTGTCAGTTTCCTCCTGGACCACTCCATTAACCAGCACACATCCTAATATTTATTGTAATTACTTATTGTAACTCAACACATTTACACGCACTTCCTAAGGTCGAATTCTTTTCATCTATCATAGTCTCACTTTTGTCTTGTCTCTCCTATATAGACACCATGCCCTGTTAATTAGAGGGTTCTTCCCCTTCCCCTACTACGTGTAGGAATGTCCAGTGGCCCTGAGCTCTGAGAGTCGGGCACTGGGAGACTATAGTGACCACCTAAGGAGGGAAACCTGGTGTTTCTGTGTTATCTTAAAGGCAGAAAAGCTGAGGCAGAGTGATAACCATCCTGTTCCATTGGCTAAGCCCAAATCTGAAAGTTTAGAGAAACTAAACTGCTTCCTGATTGGTTCTTGACTCTCTGGAGGGTCCTTCACCCGCTACATATCAACTGTCTCTCCCAGGAAGTAACAATGACTTTTGCCTTCCACTTTCACTTAAGAGGCTGATGTGGGCTCCACTATTTTGTTCTGTTTTGTTTTTTGTCATTTACACAGTTGCCATATTGTACTTTCTCTATACCAAGCCCATCTGCATCGCTTCCGCCCCTTCTCTTCAACACCGTGGTAGTTATCTAGCTTACAGTATCTCTCATTTGAATTGTTGCAGTCCAGCATCTCTAGTTGCTCTTTGTTCTGTGTGCTCTTCCTTCTACTAAACTCTCCTGTCTGGGGAGATGCAGACCCCACACTGAAATATGAGAAGCTCCTCGAATCTCAGGGGCTCCAGTACATAGTCAAGATGAGGCACCAACTCCTGGAGAAGAGTCTGCCACCTAATTCTGATGGAGTTATTTTATCTCTGGAGCTCTGTGGAACTTTCCTGATTTCTCATAAAGTTCCAGTTTTCCACTGCATTTGGTAAAGACAGATCATCCCGCTCCCTGTTCCCTTTTTCTGTTCTGTTCGTCTCAGTGACCTTTTCTGCTTTATTCTTTCCATTTCTACCTTCCATTATTTTCCAGAACACTGACAGGGGCTCAGTGTGCCCCATCCTGTTGTCACCCCTCAGCTTGGCCTTGCTTTCTACTTTTCACACTGTCCCTGTTCCTGAAGCCCTCACAGTCCCCATGAAATTTTTCTGCTTTGACAGAAAAACCATTCCATCTTGTCAGCATTGACTGTCGGGAAACTAGACTTTCCAAATTTCTTTTCCTGGTGGCTGCCTACCATTTGCCCTCATTTTCAGTTCCAGAAAAGCATTTCCTTCTGCATAAATAACTACAGTGATGCCACCGGATATTAAGATAGTTTTGCACATTCTGAGCTGTGAGCATTTCCCTGTGTTCATCTTAGACTGTGAAAACCTGTGATCAGGAAGCCCTCTGCAGTTCCTGTTGCATAGGCCCTGCAGGAATAAGCCTTTCTTAATATTGATGCAGGTAAAGGTGACTGACTTACGCCAACAGATGGGAAACTGCCTCTTGTTTCTTAAGGCAGATGACCTGGCAAGAGAGGGAGACATGAGAAAACATTGTGCATTCTAGTATTCTCTAGAAGGTAAATATGGGAATTTAGGCTTACTGGATAGATTATAGAATTACAGTAGTTCTTTAACCACCGAGTGTGTCTCACTGCATCTGGTGTTGTTCAGAGTCACCTCTTTCTTCCTGTGGGTTGTACCCTGTAGAATGCCAGGCTGTTTCCTTCTTGCTGTTTGTTTGTTTCCCTCACTTCGCTTCATTTCACCTGCAGTATTAAAAATTGGAGAGAAATGTGACTCGTGATAGGGATAAAGGAGGCTTTGGATATTTGGCTAAGATTTGGCAAATGAATATGTGGAAGTTTAGAAGTATATTCAAACACTGAAAATTGAACTAATATTTGTAACGTTGCATAAGAATTCAATTCTTTTTGAGTAAAAAGTGGTCTTTTACATTGTTTGGCATTATTCTGAGAGCCTACAAGTGAATTGAAAAGTAGAATAGCCTGAGTGGTATATAGCATGGGCCTTCATGCTAACCCCATGCCCTAACTTTCCTTTAACTTATCTTAATCTAACTCTGGGCCTATTTGATTCAAGAACAAGAAAGGAATTCCAAGTGAAGCCATGCTGACTTCGTATGTGTAACCTGCTTTGTCTTTCAATGTTTACGTTAAGAAGATAAATGCCCCACCTAAGTATTTTCTGTATGCTCTTATTTTTGGGTGTCTGTTTGAAGGGTTTTGTTTTGTTTTTCCTTTAATTGGCTGCACAGGAAGATCCATCCTGCATTGTGAGTTTAGCATTTTCTTCACTGTCTGCCGTGCATCCCATTGTCTGTGCACACGCAGCATGGCCAGCGTCATATCTGCCTTCTGTATGGTGCAGCTGCTCCAAGTGCAGCAAGCCCCTCCACGCAGAGCATGCCCATGTGTTCCACATCTGGTGCAGGGATGGAGACGGAGACGTCAGTGGTCTCAAGTGGCACTAATTACTTTCTTTTTCCTTTGGTTTCCTCATTACAGATACTGCAATGAACATTTGCTGTGTCCCCCACACATGTTCTGGACAGGCTGGGGTCCTTGGGAACGGTGCACAGCCCAGTGCGGGGGTGGCATTCAAGCTCGTCGCAGGACCTGTGAGAATGGGCCTGACTGTGCAGGCTGCAACGTGGTGAGTAGCCTCCTTCTCACACCCAGCCCACAATCAGGGAGTTCAGACTCAATATGCACAAAATGCTCTGTACACACGAGGTGTTCTGCAAACAATAAAAGCTCTGCACATACTAGGGGCTTAGTACACACACACTTTGGACACTGCAAACACTAAATGGTCTCACACACTAGATGCTCTGTAGATGCTAGAAGCTCTGCAAACACTTTATGTTCTGCAGATATTAAATGCTTTATAAATATGACATGTCCAGACACTGGACGCTCCCCAGACAATAGAGGCTCCCCAGACACTGGACGCTCCCCAGACAATAGATGCCCCCCAGACACTGGATGCTCCCCAGACGATAGATGCCCCCCAGACACTGGACGCTCCCCAGACGATAGATGCCCCCCAGACACTGGACGCTCCCCAGACGATAGATGCTCCCCAGACACTGGATGCTCCCCAGACAATAGAGGCTCCCCAGACACTGGATGCTCTGGACACACTAGGTCCTCTCACACACTGGATCTTCTGCAAACATCAGATTCTTGGCAGACACTATATGTTCTGTAAACACTAAGTACTCTGTAAACACAACATGGTCAGGTACTGGATGCTCTGCACACACTGGGTGCTACAAATCATGCAAGTGTTTCAATTTAGTTAGAATATCTGGAGAAAATACTGGAAGTGAAGAGTAGCCTGGAGGCTCCCTGAATTAAGTATTCGTGTATGGGATAAACTGTCCCGGGAGTTTTTCTGTTCTGATTTCTGAGTGACAAAGCCTTCAACCTGCTTATCTATGGCACTCTATTTGGTTTGGGACACAGAACAGTATCCCCATGCCAGGCCCACACCAAGGTATAGAACACTGGGGATGAACCAGATAATACACTGGGGGCTGAGAAACGATATAAAGCCATTGTCAGAGCATTGGCACCAATGCAGAGAGAATCAAAGAGAATGCACGTTTTTTTTTTTTTCTCCTGCCTTTGCAGGTCATATTTCTTTTGACACTTTAACCTGTCACATAAAATTCCACTTGGGTAAGCTATTTATTTTTTTGAGACGGAGTTTCGCTCTTGTTACCCAGGCTAGAGTGCAATGGCATGATCTCGGCTCACTGCAACCTCCACCTCCTGGGTTCAAGCAATTCTCCTGCCTCAGCCTCCAGAGTAGCTGGGATTACAGGCGTGCAGCACCATGCCCAGCTAATTTGTGTATTTTTAGTAGAGACAGGGTTTCACCATGTTGACTAGGATGGTCTTGATCTCTTGACCTCATAATCCACCCTCCTCGGCCTTCCAAAGTGCTGGGATTATTGGCATGAGCCACCGCGCCTGGCCAGGCAAGCTCTTTTCAAAAGTCTTGCTTTTGCCTTCCTGCTTCTTCTGTAAGAGTAACAGCATTTCCCCTCACTTGCCTACCCCTGGTGCTGGCTGCATAGAGTGGACACAGACGGTGGCAAAGGTATTGATGGAGAAGCTCAGCACGGGAAGGTCTGGCTAAATTTCTTCCTCACTGATCTTTCCAGTGGCCTTTGCAGCATCTTTATCCTTTGGTTTGTGAGGCCAAGCAATGTTTTTGTGCTTCTGTAAAGCCTGCTTTTGTGACATGCAAAACCCACACAGCCCAGATATCCTTGGGAAAATCAGGGAGAGGAAGAGGGTTATGAGGTGCTTTGTCAGATATTACGCCAGAGACCTAAGGAGATTTCTATTACTGGAAATTACAATTAGATTTCTTCCCCTTCCCACTGGAAAAATATTGTCATAGCTTTCACATAATCTATTACTGATTGTAAAGACACTTCTTTCTAGATCAGCCTGAACTAACTGTAGACTATGAAAAATCTTCATTAAGATGTATATTTATTGCTGTTTCAGATGCTGACATTTAAAACCATTTGTTTTAAACAATTTTAAAATGGCAAATTTATGAATACTCATGTGTTCTAGGAAAGTTATTTAAATGGGGTAACTTTATATTTGGCTGAAGACTATCATGTTTCATTCCTGGTGGCATGCTGCGTGCCCACTGGGGCCTGCATTGCCATGTCAAGATTGGTCTCACTTGCTGGGAAACCACAGGAATGAGGGATCTGGGTTGATCTCTCACCTTAGTTTCTGAATACATTGCAGGGTGAAGAATTCAGAAAACAGTCCACAGCATTAATTTTCTCATTGTGAATTGATTTATAATTACCTTCAAAGATAGCTTGATGAAAGAAAAATATATGAAGCAAGAATGTGCTTTTTAATGTAGTTACTATAATATGTGTGTATGTGTGACATACATCTGATTATAAATGTAAACAGTGAAGGTCTTTCTAAAATGTCCGTGTATTTATTGGTTTATTTATTACAGAATTACGGTTTATGAAACAAATGTAACCTCTGTTTTCAAATCTAGAAAAATATGCACATCTCCAAAGAAATTATTGTCACTTTTTAGGAAATTTAGGAATTTGTTTTTCTTTTTTCTTTTTGTTTTTAGCACCAAACTTAGCCTTCTGGTAGTTTACTTCTAGGAAACTGTAACTGTAGCACAGGGGAGTGATCTACTTCTCAGCGGTAGAAGTGTATTTACCTTTCTTCTGACCTGGCTTCTCCATGCATTTCAGTTTCTGTCTTTTCGAAGGCAGGAAATGCCAGCTCACTCTAATCGAGGAATGCAAGTAGCAGAAAGGAAGGGCTCTGTTTCTTTGGATTGTATGGAAGATATATACTATCAATCAGTTGAATTCCTAAGAAGTTGATTTAAAAATGGTAGTTACTTAGCTAAAGCAAAACGTTTTTGGTCTTCATCTTCTAGCTACAGTTTATAAATCCTTCGCCACAAAGGGTTTGTTTTTTATTGAGTTTTTTAAAATCAAAATAGTAACTCTAAGTATAAAAATTATACTGATTTTGGAGTCATGAAGTGACCTTCTGCTTGCCAGTGTCTAGCTGGATAACAAGAGGTGATATTTCTGAATCTCGGTCTCCTCCTTGGAGAAGGGAATGATGGTTCTTCCTACTCAAGAGCTTCTGTATCTAGGACGGCAACATTTGTAAGATCTGGTAGAAGGTCTTGCGTTTGAGTTCTCCTTTCTAGCCTCATTTCTTCATTCATTATCCATGGGCTTCAGCTGCTTCTCCGAGCTCCAGATTATTAAAAATGAGTCAGCTAATGAAATGTCATTTACAAATACAGAACATGTTTGTGGAAAGTATAACAACCCGAATTTCCTGATTATTATAACAGCTTATAGAAAAAGACAGAATTGATTATTTCAAGTTCAACTATGAATGGGTTAGAAAAGACTCGAGAATCTTTGCTTTCGCCAACACTTTAAAGCTGAAATTTCATGAAAGGATTTTCCCAGCTTCACTTGAGGAATTTCTATGTCCTCATCTAAGACTAAGTCAGCAAGCCTTTATTTGAATCTCAGGAAAGAGGAAGTGAAGGGCCTTTGCAAGACCTGTTAGTTCTCTCCATGAATCCCTACTTGTAAATCGCCCAATGTCAAAGATGTCAAAGGCTTGGGAAACCAGGAGCCTTGTGTTAGTTTGGGAGCTGATTGACAGATACAGAAGGAGGACCTGGATCTTATGCTGCCACTTAACTCTGTGAACTTGAGATGCATTCACTGCCCTCTGGGCTTCTGTCTTGTTCTGCAAAGTGCAGGGCCAGACACCAAAACTGATGATTCTGTGACCCTTGGCATTCCTTCTCTGGACCCTAGGGTACATGTGTCCAGCTGATTGAGGGATGATTTCTAACAAATGTCCCTTCCTGGTGGCTGATACCTCTGATGAGCTCAGAATGAGACACTTAAAAAACAGACATTTGGCCGGGCGCGGTGGCTCAAGCCTGTAATCCCAGCGCTTTGGGAAGCCAAGGCGGGTGGATCACAAGGTCAAGAGATCGAGACAAGTTCAACATGGTGAAACCCTGTCTCTACTAAAAATACAAAAAATTAGCTGGGCATGGTGGTGTGTGCCTGTAATCCCAGCTACTCAGGAGGCTGAGGCAGGAGAATTGCTTGAACCCAGGAGGCGGAGGTTGCGGTGAGCCGAGATTGTGCCATTGCACTCCAGCCTGGGTAACAAGAGCGAAACTCTGTCTCAAAAATGAATAAATAAATAAATAAATAAACAAATAAATAAATAATTAAAAAAACAGACATTTACTCCCCACTTCCAAGTAGGCTAAAACCACAGGAGCATCTACGGTCCTCTGGCTCTTGCTGCTGCTCTCCAGGTCTGTGGTTTAGCCCTGCATGCCTGTGGCTTCACGGAGCAGGTGGAAGAAGCAGGATGGTGGGTCAGAGGGACTCTACCTCTGAGTCACTGTGAGACTTGACCTGTTGTTCTATTTCTCCACATGGTTGTTTTCAAATGAAATGTGGAGCATGGACACTTGAATGAAAGAGCTGTTTAGAAGATTGCACATAGTACATAATTTTTCTATATGTCCTAGCCCATGCCAAGTCTAACATGGACTTTCATAAAATAGAAATGATTTACCCAGTTTTGACAATAGTAACTGTAACAATTCTTGTTGGAAGAAGCCTTGTAAATCCCAACTTACTGGATGATGTCAAATTAAATATTGAAATTAAGTTATAACTGTACATACGGAGTTAATATTTAATGATAACCTGAAATCCTGTGTTCCATCATAAAATAACTTTTGTTGAGTGCCTACTACATGCCATGCACTGTACTAAGAGTGATTAAAATTTATCATGTTTATTCTCTCTATATCCCTGCAAGGCAGTTTTTATTATTATCTCTGCTTGAAGATGGGAAAAGTCAGCCTGAGAAAGACTAATGAACTTGCCCAGTAGCAAATTGCCAGTGGAGGACTGGACCAGCATTTGAGAACTTGTCCTCTGGGCACAAATAGAATTTAATGAGACAACTCTATTTGCATAATTATGTGCCCAATGTTAAGTGATAAATGATAAGCCTTACTTTTCTTTACTCCTATTAAATCGAAGTGTAGCTTAAAAAGAAGAGGAGCAGCCG